GTCTCATCAATCTTATCGAGGTCCACCTCATCTTCAAACATCATTTCATGAGTGAGGAGGGAACCAATTAGCTCTTCAAGAGTTAAGGACTTTAGGTTCTTAGCCTCGATGATTGTCGTCTTCTTGGATTGCCACGATTTTGGAATTGAGTAAACTAACTTCCTCACAAGCTTTTCTTTTGGAATGATCTCTCCATATGATTTGAGACCATTGACAATCGTTGAGAATCTATCCGTCATAGCTTTGATATCTTCATTTGGTTTCATCCTGAAATTTTCATAGCTATGTGTTAGAAGACTAATTTTAGATTCTTTTACCTTATCAGTGCCTTCATGAGTGACTTGTAGTTTATCCCATATTTCTTTGGCGGGTGTACAAGATGAAACTCTTCCATATTCATCTAGTCCAAGAGCACAAAATATGATATGGATGACTTTGGAGTTGAGCTGGAACATTGTTGTCTCTCCTTCACTCCACAATCTTGGATGAGTGAGAGGCTTGATATATCCATTTTCTACAACATTTCATGCTCCCATGTCACTTGCTTGAATGAAATACATCATCATATTATTCCAATAGGCATAGTTAGCTCCATTGAAGAAATGAGGCTTTTTGATGGGCATCGAATCGAGATCGAAGTCGACATTTGAAGTAGAGGTCATTGATGACTTGATAATCGATGTAACTCTTCCCGAATCAACTCAAGAGGTGATTAAACCTTCAAATGAGTGAGGCTTTAATACCAATTGTTGAGTTAATCGATCGATGGAATTGGGCAAGAGGGGGTGAATTAGCAATAAAAATTTTGGTGGAAGCTTTTGTAGAAAATTGAAAAGATTTGCAGAACGATTTAGAGTGGTTCGACTTTCTCAACCAAAGTCTACGTCCACTACCTTAGCTATCAACACTAAGGATTTTCCAACAAATTAACTAATTTGTTCTTTCTTTTGAGGCTAAAGAGATAACCTTACAACTCCCTCAAGAATATACCCCAATTCTTGAGAACACTCTTTCTCAAAGAGAAGATTACAAATTTGCAAACTTACAAGGAAATCCTCACAAGGTAGATTGTTTGCACAATTCTAGAACAAAGAAAATAACACTAAAAAATGAATACAATTGAGTACAAGTAGTGTTCTTGAAAGCAAAATGAATATTGAATGAAAAATAGGCTTGAAATGCTCAAACTTGAGGTTTGATGCTTTCTCTTTTATTCTCTCTTAATTCTTGTTTCTTGTGTTTTCTTGTTATTGATCAATGGCTTCTAAGCTTGTTTAAATACACCTTCAAATGATTCTGAACGTTGGGGATGATTAGTGGAGTCAATAGAGTCGTTTAAGTGTGAAAATAATTAATAAAATCAGTTGGGAGCGTCAGTGCATCGATGCATACCCAAGGTGCATCGGTGCATCAAGTGTAAAATTCAAATATTTTGACCGTTGGACCCTTATTGCATCGATATACTAAGAGTGCATCGGTGCACTAAGAGTGCATCGATGCATGAAATGCATTCGATGTTTCAAAATAGCCATAGTGCATCGATGCATGGCTGGTGCATCGATGCATTAAATGCATTCGATGTTTCATAAAACTCTGAGTGCATCGATGCATAGTATGTGCATCAATGCATGGAATGCATTCGATGTTCAATTTATTCCATGGTGCATCGATGCATGGATTGGTGCATCGGTGCATCACTTTGAAAAATTGATTTTAGGCTTGATTTTGGTTAAAAATACTTCGTGAAAATTGTTTCAAAAATATGTTAAGTATAAAACACAATTTTACATATTTAGTAAGGTTTGAAATTGATCTTGAAGACTTGGAGTAATAATTTGATATTCGAGTAATTAAATCGAATATACTTAGAAAATCATTTGTAAAATCTTAAAATTCATTTATACTTAATTTGTTATATCGAAACATCAAAATGTTTTCAACATCAACCCTCACTTTCTCTTTAGCTATGAAGAACCCAAGACTTTGAAAAATCAAAACAAGGTTATTGGAGGGATTGAGGATGAATTTGAATCTTAAAAGAAGTATAAAAGATGCTCAAGAACTTACCTTTAGCTATAGCACTTGGAGAGGAAAGAAGGAGAAGGAAATGATGAGAAGAAGATGAATGGAGATATAAAGCTCTCATCTTTTCATGAATGAGATAATTACACTTTTGGTCCTTCTCATTTTACATTATATTCAAAAATCCTAATTTTATGACTTTTTGGGCTCAAATTTAACCTAATTAAGCCCAAACTTTGCCCAACAACTTCAATTACAAACTCCACGAGGTCTACATACCTCTCATGTAAAGTCAAAACTACTAGCCGAAATTCTGGGTGTTACAGAGGGTTTCAAATACCATTAAGTCAAAAAAATATTGTTTAAAGAAGTTTAACTCATGTAAGTTAAGTTAAAAATCTAAATCTTGTGTTTTCTTATTTTTCAAATTTCTAAATTAATTTTAATAAAAATTATTTTCACTTATTTTTTATTTTTAAAAATCATTTTCTAATTGTACAACTAAATATGTTTTCTTCACTATTTTCTATTTTCTATAAAATAAAAATAAAAAATAGTCTATATTTTTAGAACCAAACTCACTCTTAACTTTCTTTTTTTCTCATAAATGGAACTTCTGATTTTCATAGGTATTATTTTTTTTTTCTATTATTTGAAGTGTTGTGACACTGAAAATTATACTTTTAGGACTAATGCTTAAACTGAGAACATATGCGTTATGCAGTTTAGTGAACATACTTATGTTTACGGGATCTTATAGAAGAAATGATTAAATAAAAGTCAATTGTACAATAAGAAATAAAGTTAGAATATTTTTTAAGATACGATGGAAGAATAAACAGATGTTGACCACTAAAATTAACGTATCGTGCGTTATCAACCGATGAGATTGTTAGAGGAGAGACGAGAGGTTAATTGGAAGAGCGTTTAGAAGGTACAAGTTTTACTGGATCGTTTGTTGACGAACAAAGAAAGACTTTGTAGACACCTCACGTGGACGAGCGATGTTAGATTTGCAAAAGTGAGGATGAAGATGTGATCCATTTGTTGAGGTTCTATAGTCGAGCTTGACGATAATGACCAAATGTATAATCATACTAAATTTTTCAACTATCACATCAATTTTTCAGTTAAATGTTAATGATTAATAGTTTGATTGACATTATTTAACTAAGTAAATGGTTTGATTATCAAAATTAAAAATCGGTGGTCAAAATAAAACCCACTTATAGTTAAATGGTCATAAGTGTAGTTCACTCAAAAAGTACATTTATTAGGCCCTATCTGATAATATTGTTTAAAAGTACTTTTATGTACTAATGCCAAAATGCTAAAAGTTGAAAAATAAAATGCGGTGAAAATGGTGGTTTCAAACCAACCGTAAAAATTATAATTTCTATTTTTTTTTTCATTCCAACTTTGCATTTAGAAGCAAATTTAATAATTTTCACTCTTACTAATGCACGGACTCCACTCAGTTATGTATTTATATTGTATATTAATAGTTTAATAAAAACATCTTTTAAAAATAATTTATTAGTTTTCATAATTTATTTTAATTATTTATTATATAAAATATTATTTATTATAATTATATTATTTATTTTTATTATAATTTAAATCGATACAATTCATGTATAATAATTTTTTTAAAATTTATTATTGTTTAAATTGATATAATTCATATATAAATGTAAATGTAATTTAAATGTTATATTTTTAATTTACAACATAATGTCTATAATGGACATTTTAGCTTGTCAAACTCACTTTTTAACGGTAATCTCAAACAATTAAATTTTAAACAACACTTTTAAACAATACTTTTAAAAATTCGTTTCTACAATACTTTTATGACGCTTTTCAAAAGTAATACTAAACTGGCCTTAATATAAAATTTTAATTACAATGATATTGAAACTAGATCAAAACATATATAAAGTAAACTTTTTTGAAAATTAACCTCTTTAAAATTAAATAAGTGACCTCACTAGTAAAAGAAAATGATGTTCTTCTTAGAGGTAATGAATTCAAGTAATAAATTCAGCACAATGTATATTGTCAATAGATTAAGAAAATTTTAAATAAATACTACCTTATGATTGACTCGTGCATTCTAACCACTCGGATACTATCTTATAGTAATAAAACAAAAGGAGTTTCGAACTTATTAATAGAAATTGTTTTAATTGTAGCACTTAATATTTTATATATAAAGGCCCTACTTTGTTTAAACTTTATCCAAAACCAATTGAAGAAAAGAAAAACATGCAGAGAGCTGGTTTAAGTCTTGATGTACCAAAGAAAGAAGATATGCCATCCATAAAGGAACGGGGTCCTTTGTTATCATTTCCTAAAGGAAAATGAATTAAGTGGAACCCGAATCTCTATTTAAGAATAAGACCATTGCTTGACTGACAATTTGGGTGTCTCCCAATCAAGTAAATCAACAGTAGAAAATTACAATTATTGCCCTTCATTATTTTTTAGCTATGGTATCATTATCAATGTTGAAACTGATTTAATGTGTAACTTAGACATTTCATTATGGCTGTTGGAATTCAATGGAGTCATCATTGGCGCATCTAGTTTACCAAAAAGTAAGTTATAGTTAGGGTATGTGGCCCAGAAATAAGATACAAGCAAAATGTAAAGAGTAGGGGATTGAAACACAGATCACTATTAAATGCTATCAAACAAGAAAACAACAAAAATAACCTTCATAAAACCACCTCTTTCTATAGTACAAAACCAGTTCTTCTTCATCATCATCGTCACGTTTATAGCAACAACACCTATCATATATATATATATATATATATATATATATATATCTCACACCCTTGTTACTTTAAGGGGAAAGAGAGCTATGGCTATATCTGGTTTCTCGAATTATGATGCCATTATTGCAAGTTCAATATATATTAGGTGATTAATGATGAGTTCTGTTCGGATATGGCGGTAACGTTATAGCATGGTCATGCAGGTGAAAATTGATGCAGTTGCTTGAATAGCAAAATTTGACGTATGTCCGAAAGTTTTTGTCCGAGCAAACTGTATTCGGACCGGAGCCGATCATTGTCCGTCCTTACAGTGTGACAGTAGTACAGAACCAACCTCAAACGGTTGTTCAGTTCTCGATTCTCGACTCTAAGCCGGTTCACCTGGTTCCTTAGGTTTTCTAAATGCTTCTGTTTACGCATCCGTGACCTCCTCGCTGATTCTCTGTTGGATATCATACGCCTCCTCTTTCGTTCCTTGATGACGGAAAGCGCCTGGTTCGGTTCATCTAAAATAGAGTTTGAGTTGGTTCGGTTTTGATTTGTTTCGTCTGAACCGGAACCCGGTCCCTCTGGGTCTATTGATTGGGTTGTGTTAAAAAGTTCCGAGCAATCCCACGGCAGCGTGAAGCCGCTTTCGAAATCCAGGAATGGATCGTAGTCTACCAATGAACCGGATGAGAAATCGACCGGAATAGTGGACAACATGGCTTTAATAATAATAATAATAAAAGAAAGTTAAAAGAAAAACAAAGCAAAAGATTTAGAAAATATGCGGGGGAAGGTAGGAAGGTGGAGAAAAGGGAAGAAATGCAGTGTAGGGGGCTGATATTTATGGGCGAAGCTGAGAAGTGCTGTGGGTCCACGTGATTGCATGAATAATTGAATATCATATGTATTTTACTTTTGTAAATACGTATATGGACCGTATATATGCATGTAATTTTTTTTATAACTTTTGAGTCATGTGGCCCTATGGTGGGGTTTTCAGTAACATCATTGAGAAAGCAAAAAAAAAAAAAAAAAAATTGGGGCGACATATGACATGAGCTCAATTGGGTCCCTTGAAAAGTGATTTTCTTTTTATTTTGGTTAAAAAAATGTGATTTTGTTATTTTAATTTTGCTTAGTCACGAGAAACTGAATAGCGTGGGGTCATGGGAGACACCTGTCTGAATCTGATAGGGTCTAATAGGAAGCTGACGTGGAACGTGCGTATAGTTGGGACTCCCGGATGATAAAAATTAATAATAATTCTAAATAGACACTAGATTTGTTTAATAGTTAGGTTTTACGTTTAGTTGATTCAGGTTTTATTTTTTCTGTTTTGTTTTAAAATTTCTCGTGTGACGAACCATATTTGCTAGGGTTTTGGGTTGACTCTTTTGTCCTCGAGTTTAAATTTTTATATGTTTTGCTATAATTATTTTCTTCTTTCTTAATGAGTGATTTTTAATATATATATATAAATTTAATTATTTTTTCAACTATGATATTTTTTATCTGTTCTCCACTGAACTCTTTTATAAATTCAAATTAAAAAGATAATATAAAATTTATTGTTTATAAACTATAAATGACTAATATAACAAAAACTTTATAATACGTCAATTATGTAAATTATCTATTATGAACTTTATCAGCATTAAAATTAAACCATTTTTTTAAGTAAGAGCTTATTATAATAGAATAAAAAGAGCTTATGACATTGATAATGAAATTATTAAAAAATCACTTTAATCCTAAATGCAGGGGAAAGTACACCTTATCAATATTATTACAACAATTAGAAGTTACTAACATTAAAAGAAACAACGGGCCAAGTGTCGTGATCGTCCCCTATATGGGGCCACGACCAGGTACATACGCCAAGTCCAACCATATATAGGGCCTATTGGTGGGGTAGATTAAGATTGTCATATTTTCAAGCATGTTAATGTTTTAGGTGGGGAACTTGGGTAAGGTAGGTTATCTCCATTTCGAGTATTTTAAGTGTACTCGTGCCATTTCTATTATTTTATTTTCACATATATGTAGGGGTGGACAATCCACTGGGTATGACTGATCCATTGGGATGGTAAAGGTGTCTACACATCTTCGAGGGCTGCCATACAACCTAGTTGATGGTGTGGGTGAGTGTGGACAATGTAACCCGATACTTTTACTAATAAACTATTTTCCTTTTTTCTATAGGAAAACCGAGGTCGGGTGTGTTCATCTGATATTCCCTACGGGCTTGAATTTTGGCATGAGGAAATTCTATGATGGCTTTGTGATTGACAATAAGGTGGATACTTGTTAGATATATTATCGTGGACTAAAGCGGACTTGACTTGGGAAGGGTCCTATTTCAAGTGTCGCACCGAATAAAAATCCTAGTCAAAAGGATAAGTCTGTGACACTTAATATTAGAGCAATGTGGTTCAACGTGGCAAATAATTTTTTATCCATATGAAATGCTCTTTTGGGATATAGTCCAAGCGCTTTAACGCGGAGAGTAGGCAAGGTAGACAATGTTCATGTTGAGCGCTTCTAAGAGGGGAGTAGATGGGATGAATTGGTATTACGTCGAGCTCTCTCGCATACGGAGTAGGCAGGGTGTCTATATTATATGTTCTTGTGGGATGTAGGTCAAGCGCTTTAACACGGGATTAGGCATGAAAGACAATATTCATGCCGAAAATTTCTAAGAGGGGAGTAGGTAGGATGACTTGGTCTTATACCTAGTTCTCTCATGTGTGGAGTAGGCAGGGTGTCCATACTATATGCTCTTATGGAATGTAGGCAAAGCAATTAAATGTGGGGAGTAGGTAGGGTAAACAATGTTCCTGTTTAGCGCTTCTAAGAGGGGAGTAGGCATGATGACTTGGTCTTATGCTGAGTGCTCTCGCGTGTGGAGTAGGTAGGGTGTCCCTATTATAAGTTCCTTTGGGATATAGGCCAAGCGCTTCATTGTTGGAGTAGGCAGGGGGACAGGATTCATGCCAAGCATTTTCAAGAGGGGAATAGACATGATGACTTGGTCTTGCACCAAGCTCTCTTACGTGTAGAGTAGGCAGAGTGTCCCTATTATCAGTTCATTATTGGAGTAGGCAGGGGGACATGATTCATTCCAAGCACTTCCAAGAGGAGAGTGGGCAAGATGACCTTGTTTTGCACCAAGCGCTCTTACGTGTGGAATAGGCAGGGTGTCCCTATTTCACGCCAAGCGCTTTCACGGATGGAGTAGGCAGGGGACAATGTTTATATCGAACGCTACCAAGAGGGAAATAGGCAGGATGACCTGGTCTTGCACCAAGCGTTCTAGCGTAGAGAGTAGGGAGGGTAAATTAATGTAGTGCTAGCACATGATTACTCAATGTTGGTAATTGTGCAATGGGTGCTTATTCCCTAAAAGTACAGAAGCGTACATGTTCAAAATATACATGGGGTGCTTATTTTGATGTGTTGAAGAGTTACTTACCTTGTATAGAAAAAATGTGCTACATTAGAATATTTTTGCCAAGATGCTTATTTTGTGTTGTTGTTGTGATGTTTGATGTGTTGTTGTTGCAACTATGGTTGTTGTGTGGCTTGTGCTATGTGATTGTTGTATGTGGTATGGGGTGCTGAATGTTTTACATTGTGACAAACTTTTTTTATGCTAAACACTAGCGTGCTTACATATTGTTATTGTTGCTTTACAATTCTATTTATGGGTTAATTGGCAATGGTCGGAACACGTTCAAGTGGGTTAAGGGACCAAAACAGATTTTATCATCTACAAGCTGAGGTAGTAGCATTGAAAGTTGAATTAGTTTAGGGGGTTGAGTTAAATCAATTGAGGTAGCTCAAGCACAACTCACCCAGTCATTAAGAGAACTCAAGGATAAGGTGAATGGTTCTATCAAGTCAGAGTTAGAAGAAATCACAGAGCTTAAGGCTCATGTCAATTTGATTGAATTGGCTATGGGTAATACAGGTACAAGCTCGAGTGAGAGAAGTCAGAAGGTCAAGGTACCAGAGCCTCAACAGTATGAGGGAACACGGGATGCCATTGAGCTGGAGAATTTTTTATTTGATATGGAACAATACTTTAGGTTAATGATGGCTAGTTCAAAAGAAGACAAAGTTTCTTTGGCCTCGATGTATCTGGCAGATGATGCTAAATTGTGGTGGTGATCCAAATTTGTTAATGGGGTGGGCTCCATTAACATGTGGGACGAGCTGAAGAAAGAATTAAATAAAACATTTTTTGAAGAATGTGGAATACAATTCACGGAGGAAGATGAAGAGTTTAACTCAAACATGAATAATTAACGAGTACGTGAGAGAGTTTGCGGCACTAATGTTGGATATACGGGACATGGCTGAAAGTGATAAGGTATTTTATTTTCTGAAAGGGCTAAAACCATGGGAAAGAACAAAGATTCGAAGATAACGGGTGGAAGATGTGTCAGAGGTGATGGCAGCTGCCGAACGTCTTACTGATTATATCACTTTTGCACCTAAGAGGAAGGCTCCCTTCCATGAAGAGAATTATTTAGTTAGTGATGGTGGTGTTACGAATTCAGGGAATGTGAATAAAGTGACAAGAAGAGATATTTCTCTAATTGGGGATATTATAAAAGGCCATTTTCTAGAGTTTCGATGCCAAATGTTTCAAGTAATGGGTCTACACAGGGTGGTGAGAAACCAAGGCAATCTTGGGAGTCTCATCCTAACATTGGATATCGACAGAATGAGGAAAGGACGAGAACTTCTTTGGATTATTTCCTACTTAGGGGCCTAATTGGATTATTAAATGTCTGTAGAGGATGACACTTAATGCTTTAGTGAGTTCGTCAAAGGACGAATCCCCGCAAGATCCACTTGAAGAAAATTGTGAGAATGAGCTAACTAGGGTGGATTCGATTCAATTTTTGTATGCTCTTTAGTCACAAGTTAGCAAGTTAAGGAAGGAGCCAGTGAGGGGTCTTATGTATGTGGATATCGGGATAAATGATATAGCTTCAAAGGCTTTATTGGACACCGGGGAAAGTGACACTTTTATCTAACTGGAAAAAGTGAAGAGGTGTGACTTGGAACTCACTAAAGATGTGGGACTAATGAAAGCATTGAATTCATTGGATGTGGCCATATGTAGAAGCTCTAAGAAGGTGACAGTCAAGCTAGGTAGTTGGGGGGGGGGAGATTTATTTTACCTTCACTCATATTGATGATTTTGATGTGGTTTTGGGTTTTGATTTTATGATGTCAGCAAGAGTTATCCCTATGCCTTCTACAAAGTGTTTGGGGCTGATGTGAGAGATTTCGAGTGTGGTACCGATAACTTTAATGCCGAGGGTGGGGAAAAAGACTGGAGCAATAAGAGTGTCTATCAACTCGGGACCAAAAAAGAAAGTTTAAGTAGCGCTCGTTGATAAGGACATAGACTATTTGAGTGGGGTAGAATGTCATGGTTGTCCCCTAAATAGGGCCACAACCAAGTAGATATGCCAAGGCCAACCATGTATAGGGCCTATTGGTAGGGTAGATTAAGATTGTCCTCTTTTCAAGCATGTTAATGTTTTAAGTAGGGGACTTTGGTAAGGTAGGTTGTCTCTATTTCGAACATTTTAACGTGTAATCGTGGCATTTCTATTATTTTATTTTCACATATATATAGGGGTGGACAGTCCACTGGGTATGACTGATCTACTGGGATGGTAAAGGTATCTACACATCAT